ATAAGCAAAAGGAGGTCGGGAATTCGCACCATTTCTCGATTTATGTGTGTCATCCTTGATGCAGGGCCCCTGATAATCTACTCAGTATGTTACGGACTCCGCCAGGGCTTGATCTCTGGTCTATCTTTTTGCTGTTTCTGCTGCATCCCGTTTTCGGCCTTGCACCCTTTTTCCAAACCCCTCCTTTGGTTCCGTAGGCTTTTGGACAACTGGCGCCATGCTGCAATTCGGGCGCCAATTTCAAATACCGCATTTTTCAGTTCTGCCCTCGGGGCCTTTGCAGAAATGCCCCTGGTACCGTACATGTCACCGGTACATATACCGGCTCCCCGTACGGTACGGGGACCCAGTCTGGCACCAGTTTTCAGCTGCTGTACTCGTACCCAGTGTGACTTGCTCCTGTTTTCCGCATTCGGAATCCAAGACTTCGACTTTGTGTCTTTGCCACTGTGTCTGCGTCCGTCGAGTCCCTCAGTCGAGTCGAGTGAGTGAGTGTGTGTGTGTGCTCTCACTATCCCTCTCTCTCCCTCCTCTCCCTCGGCTCTCCCTGTCTCCCTCAGCCTCGCTCCCGTTACACTGTATCATTCCAAGTTTAGCGGATGTCCCAAAGGACTCCGAAGGGTGTAGTTATTGCTGGCTATTGCAATAGTTACACAAATGTTATGTGTGTTTCCATCGTCCCTTTTTTCTTTCATTGCCATTTTTTCTTTGCATTCTCCCTTTTATTTTTGTGGTGCGGTATGGGTGGAGGGTTGCCGTTCCCTCTGGGAATGCCTGAGTTGGAAAATTGACAGCGAGACTGAGCGAGTGAAACTTCACTCCTGTTTACGACCTGTGTAATGACCTGCAAAATTGCAGACTGAGAAAACTTCTGTTTTCAGAGTTGTGCCGCTGGGTTGTGGGACTTGCTGAGGTTCCCGCAGTCTGCTGAGATTTCTAAGTAAGTGCGTGTGAGCATATAATTGCTGAGTTCCCGTGCATTCGCCTGATTGCATGATTGCTTGCTTGGGTGTGTGTGTGTGACCCGCTAGGGTACTTGTGTGTGGTGGAGGGCCTTGGGCTTGGTAGTTGCCTGTGGCCGTGCTTTATCGGTTGCAGCGGGAGGCAGAGGAGTAGGCGAGGCCTGCGTAGGTGGGAAAAACACTCAAGACAAAAAAGTTTGTAAACCTTTAGAGGCCGAAGGAATGTTAGAGCCCGGCAGGCTTAGGGTCTAGGGGTACCAGACCAGTAGTCTGAGTCTACGGCCTGCAGCAACGGATGTCAGACTGAATGATGTTTCCCTCTGAAAGGAGGAAGGTACCGGTAGCCTGGGAGGCTGAGCAGCCTGGAAAGCCACCGCCCAAGGATGCAGCAACCAGTATATCTTAACGGAGAGGTGAGAGCTCTTCCTCATTTTGCGGTGTGCAAGTTCGGTGTCACACGCTGCTGAGCGAGCGGTTGGTGTTCCAACGCTGGGAAGGAAGAAGGCGGACTGGCCCCTCCCCGCTTACTACCTTAATTAGAGGGGCCAGGCCGGCCGCCTCCTTCCTCCCTAGCGCTGGGACACCAAGTAAGCGAGCCTCGCTCCAGCAATGTGCTCCAGCAGTACAGGTCATTACACCTGTTGCAATTGAAACTTACCAGAGAGCCAATCCCCTCTCCAGTAAGAAGCAATTAGCACCGCCGGAATGTGTTTTGTCCTTCTGACACCTATGGAGCTCTTTCAGGCAGCCTGTGCTGGAAACTTTTTACGGCGGGTGAAATTTTCACTCTGTTTTATTTTACGCCTTGCTACAATTAAAGCTTTACCAGGCAGTCAATACCTCTCCTGAGAGAGGGAATCAATGCTGCCTGCCCCTGAATTCTCTTTCTGACGTTCTAGAGCTCTTTCCCACGTACGCTCGACCCTCTGGAGCAGCCTGAGTTGGAAAAATTTACAGCGGGTGAAATTTCGCTCTGTTTTATGACCCTTTACAAGTCAAACTTTCTCAAAAGTTCAGGGGTCAATAGTTCAGGGGTCAAAAGTTCAGGGGTAAGAATTTCAGGGGTAAAAATTTCAGGGGTCAAAAGTTCAGGGGTCAAAAGTCATCCCTAGAGCCTTTAAAGAGGCTTCCGAAAGTCATAAGATTGATTTGCCTGGTTGGGCTGAAGGCTCAAAACGAGGTACCCAAAGACTCTAGTAGAAGTCAAACCGCCAGTGCACGGTCCCAGCCTTGCTGAAAAAAAACTCGTCGCCTACAGAAATTTTGGAGGCCCAGCGCCGTATATAAATTGAACCGGCGGCGGACGACCTCCGAAAAGGGCCCGCGGCTGATACAGCTGGATGTACTGGTGGTTAAAAAGCCTAGGATCGACTGGGCTAGCTCAGTTGGTACACCCCTGAACCGTTGAAACACTGACTTCCGTTCAAACTTCACTGGAAGCAGATGAGTAAAATACTGCCAATTCTGAATTACCTTGGGCTGGTCATGTCATACTCTCAGATCGCAGCCCTTGAAAAAAAAAAAAAAAAAAAAAAAAAGAAGTCAAGCCTAGGAGTCCACTGAAGGCAGGCCCGGCTCGGTCACTCATTCTGTCGGATGCTTGCTCGACCACACAAGTGATCAAAGAAAGGTGCTAGGAGAAGACAACAAACCAATCACCAAGAAGAGAGAGAGTTTGGCCCATTTCTCCAATTACGTGTGTCATCCTTGCGCAGGGGCCATGCTAATCTTCCTTCTTACTAGTTCTTAGTATCGTTCCGATTTTAAAGGATGTCCCCAAGCACAGAAAATTTGGACCATTTCTCGATTTATGCGTGTCGTCCTATTTCTGATGGTCGGAATGTGGTGGGGACATCTGATGGTCATAGGGGCCATGCTAATCATCCTACTCTGCATCGTTCCAATTTTGAAGGATGTCCCCAAGCACACATCTTTCACTTTTCTTGTCCAATTTCTGATGGGGTGGTAGCCCCCAACAATATCGGGCAGATGCCCCTACAATTTTCTACACTTGTGCAGATGCTCATGTGTCAGAATGCGGCTGGGTGTGAAGTGAACCAAACAAAAATAGGTTGAGGGGGGGGGGAAACAAACAAAAATAGGTTGAGGGGGAAATGCAGAATGCGGCTGGGTGTGAAGTGAACCAACAAAAATAGGTTGAAGGGGAAATGCAGAATGCGGAGGGGCTCAGAGAGAAGGGGGTAATGCAGAGAGGAGGGGGAAACAAACAAAAATAGGTTGAGGGGGAAATGCAGAATGCGGCTGGGCGTGAAGTGAACCAAACAAAAATAGGTTGAGGAGGGGGAAACAAACAAAAATAGGTTGAGGGGGAAATGCAGATGGGGTAGAGGGGGGGAAACGACGGAAAAAAAGATGCAAGAGCCATATGGCTGACCATCCACATGTTTGCAAGCCTGACCTTCGTTCTTCCTTTTCTTCTTCTTCGGCTTGACGGACTCGCCTTCCTCCGCAGCCTTCCCACCCATCAAATGTGAAGCAACTCCATCCAGTACATACTTGAAGTATGGAACGAACACAGACCTGCAAGCCGAAGAAGAAGAAAAGGAAGAACAAGGGTCAGCTTTGATGAGAAACTCCCGCAAATTACAACAACATCCACGTGAGAAAAAAAAAATAGACATAGAGAAAGGACAGAAAAATACGGCACCGCAGCAGACCTGCAAGTAAATACACACCCTACAAGAATGGATGATTGATCAGCATCATACAATTAACAGCACAGGAAAAGGGGGATCAGGGAGAGGAGATGAGAGCATGTGTGCATGCGTCCATGCGTCGGGGGGGG